GTTAGCTCTTCAGTTCTTATTATTGCTCCAACAGGTGTTGATCTTTAAAAAGTTTTGTTTAGTGGAGGAAGAAAGGTGAATGTGTGCTTTGTGCTTAGTGTCATTGTTTTTTCCCCCCAGTTGGCTTCCCAGTATTCACATTTTTCTGTTTTGCAGAAATCATTCCTTTGCCAGATGTTGAGTAACATTGGACATGCCTATAGCAAAGCTGGTAGCATACTTCTCTAAATGCAGTATAAATGACTAACCAATAGTTGCTGCCTGGCTTGTTGCATATTAGAAGAATTCACAGTTAAAATCAATGACCCACGATTCCCTATCTCCAGATAATCCCTAGATGTTTTCTCCTGTGAGAGTCATACAATGGAGAGGTGGTGTCATTGCTCTGGCCTGAATTCCAGGTACTGGAGCAACACTCTGGACCACTGCAGCAGCACTAGTCCCCAAATTGCGCGGGCCCCTGTGCACTTCCCTGGTTGCACTGGTTATTCCTCCACCAGTGCTTGAGATCCTTAACAATTATGCTTTTTGTCTGGATTGCGGAAGTCATTTATACTGGTTTAAAGTATGAGAATTCTTTGCAAACTTTTGAGGGTAAGATCCTGCAAGAGCCCTCAGACTTCCACCAAGTAGCCCTCATTTTGTCTGCTGACCACATAAAGCTTTATATAGTATCATTATATGTGCCTCATGTTGCAGTATTGATCTCTCACTGCACAAAATAAAACCCAGTACACCATTGTGGATTTAAATGATCACAAACCAAGCTCTCAGTTTCCCCCTCGCTACTACATTGCTTCTCAAAACAGATCATTGTGACTGTGGTGTGTAATGGGATGGCAGGATTTTTCTGTTGGCCCCCCCTGCTGGTGTCAGAACCTTGTATAAAACTGTTGGTGTTCCAATGGCTCATTTTGGTCTGTACTGCTTATTAAACACCTCTGGATATAAGGGAGATAGGAGTGGCTGTCTACGGAGTGAGAATTGGGGATATAGGAGGGAGGCGGTCCCAGAGGAAAACATTAGGTACCTCCAAACTCAGGGAGGAAGTTTGGGGGAGGTTTATTGTGATGTTGCTTTTTGACTACCAATAAAGCCAAACCCCAGAAGGGAACTGAGTTTGGACACACAATTCAGGGTCTGTGTGCTCTGTTGAGCATAAGGTAGAGACTGAGACCATTCATAGAGTGTCATGAGTGATTGATAACTATGATTAGTCCCTGTTCCAAAGTGGAAAATTCATGAATGATTTTGAGGATAAATCCTTTTATATCTGATGCTTCTGGTAATGGAAAGTAATAAATCACAGAGTTGATTTGGCAAAGATCGCTTAATTACAGGTTTTATTATAATCTCGGTTTCCTTTCACATGGTTGGATACTACTTTTTCTACTGAATTAATAAATTCTATGAGTGAGTGTTGATTTCATATATTTATTCGAGTTAAAAAATTTAACATCTTAAAAGTAGCACAGTAAAATTCCATGAACCTGCCAATGTTTTCATGAAATTTATTAAGCTGTTAATTTCACCCATCTGGTATAATATAATGTGGGTGTGTATAATTATACATACACTCTAGTGAAATGCAGTCATTGCTGGTGAGGAACTTGGTAGTCATTCAGCTCTCATTAACACTGCACAATAGTTTAGGACAAAATGAAGAATATCACATTTAATGGATATTGCTGGGGAATTTTGCCTAGGTAAATTACTTATCTAAACTGGAATTTGGCCCAGGCACTGGAAGTAAATATCAGAAATGCCATGGGATCTTTAATGACCACACATGGGGTTATTAAATCTTGGTTTTAGGTCTTAACTGAAAGATTTATTTATTATTTTGATAGACTACCACTTTATGCATAACCAACACTACTTTCTTCAGCATTCTAGGTTTTCCTTACAAATTCTGATAAGGGTTTATTGGTTACTGAATGAGTGTGTAAGATCCTGGGCCTTGAACCAGGGCCTGTGAGTCCCTAGACCATGCTCAGATTGTGGCCGCCACCCAGTAGCTTACCCAAACTAGTGGAGAAGGGGGTTAGCAAAGCTCTAGCTCACAAAGGCTCTGCTCACAACACTGATTGAGGAAGATGTCCAGCCCCACCGATTGGCTGGGATGCACTATTTAAAGCAGATAGAGGTACGGGAAGTTGTTTGAGCAACTTGGTGAATCCCTGGCTACTACGAACCCTGCCCCCCAGCCTGTTCCTGTCCCCTTTATTTCAGACCCTTGTCTGTTCATGGTTCCTGCTTTCCTGATGCGCTCCAGGTCCCTGCTCCTATGCCCTGCCCCGACGCTGTCTCTGGCTCTGACCCTTGGCTTGGCTCCTGAGTCTGTCTCTGGCAATGAACCTTGGCTTGGCACCTGACTCTGACCCTGGCTCCAGTTCCAGGCACCTGATTCTAACCATTAGGCCTGACCGCCTATTCCCCGGACCTTCAGTGAGATCCAAAAGAACACTGTCTACAGTACAGTTGTAGAAATTTAACCCCATGTATGCAGGAAAGTGATAAATTATTGTGCTCAGTTTAGGTAAAATAATTACTTTGTCATCAAAATGAGGCATTTTATCAAATTTATGATATTAACAAAATGAAATATTTTGACAGGTGTCTAAAGGATATTTCTATAGTAACCAAAGTGACTTGTGTTTTCTAAAAAGCAGAAGGGCATTTTTTTATAATGTTGGCAGTAGGGATATAAATATAATTTTAAAATCAACCTCTTGTGGCATTTAGAAAGTGCCTATTTTAGTTACTGTGATTGCGGTCAGGAGTTCACTGATGGCACTTTCAGGAGGTGGTGCACAGATCTGTATATGCTTTTCTGATTTTTCATCACAGACACACAGGCATATTTCTGCTGTCAGGAAAAGCTACATCAGGGAGATTTGCCTTATGGGCATATACTTGATGCCTTTTCATCATAGCCTGAGTTTTGATATTAACCTCCCCTCTGGGAATTCATAATCATTCAACATGTATAAAACTTTCATGTATAGCATCATACCTTCTCCCTAGCTTTTTTCAGAAGTAGAAAGGCGGCTCCAGATTTTAATTAAGAATCTCTTCTTTTTCATGTTTTATTAAGGATCCTGTGCACTAAGACTTGTAATGAGTTCTATTTTCTTTGGAGATACCATTGTTTTGTTGTCAGCCTTGCTGCCTTAGAGACATCTGAATATTTACCATTCATCCATTATTATATGTCAACTTTTTCCTCATTCCTCCCCTCCCCCCACCTCTGTGGAAGCAAATCACAGATTAGGTTTATAAAACATTTATAGTGGCTTGGGGTGGGAGGGAAGGGGGAGGATGACAGTTATACACCCTAATGTTAGGGGTTATTTTTTGAGTTTTGAGGTGATAGATGGCTAATGTATGCACAAGTGGATGTGCTACACATTAATTTCTAGAAGCAGCATTTCATCCGTAACCCTTGAATGCCTTTGCTGGTTACATCAGAGCCCCTAAAGGTTATTTTATAGATCTGTCTTTATAGGTACTTATATGGCCCCTGCCACCTTAGGGCTCATCTACATTTAAATGTTTTACTAGTATAACTATTTTGGTTAGGGGGTGTGATTTTTTACTGAAATAGTTATACCAGTGAAATCCTTACTGTGAACACAGTTACAATTTGTGTAAAAATTACTTATACTGGTATGGTTATTCCCCTTCCCATATGGGAATAGCTGTAGTGGTAGAAAGCTCCTTTAGGCTAGGTCTACGCTACGGGAGGGGGGTCCGACCTAAGATACGCAACTTCAGCTACGTGAATAGCGTAGCTGAAGTGGCGTATTTTAGGTCGACTTACCTGGCTGTGAGGACAGTGGCGAGTCGACCTCTGCCGCGCCGCCGTCGACTCCGCTTCCGCCTCTTGCCGTGGTAGATTTCCGGAGTCGACGGAAGAGCCATCAGGGATCGATTTTATCGCGTCTTCACTAGACGCGATAAGTCGATCCCCAATAGATAGATTGCTACCCGCCGATTCGGCGGGTAGTGAAGACATGCCCTTATACTGCTATAACTGCATCCACACTAGGGGGATTGTGCGATTTTAACTATACTGACATAGTTAAAATGGTACAACTTTCTAGTGTCATTAATGCAATTATCGTTGTGAGGTAGGGAAGTGCTATTATCTTGATTTTTACAAAACGAGGCACAGAGTTTAAGGACTAATATCACAAGCAAGCCAGCGGTAGAGCTGGGAATTTAACTCAGGACTCCTGACTCCCAGTTCTGATTCTCTAACAGGAATCACACGTTGCTCAGGAACTGTAGGCAAAATAAGATGGGAGTATCAGGAACCCTGCATGGCTCCTAAACTACACGTTTCAGGGAGAGAAAGAAGTGGAGATTCCTGATTTTTAAGCATTTATCCATGCAACCTCAGCATTTTCTTAATATATTATTTTTAATAGGTGCATACCATTTACAAACACAGTATGTCCTATATATAAAAACCTTAAGGAAATAATGGTATATGGTATTTATCGTTGTGCAAGAAAGATATTTTCTGGAGTCTAACAGATTGATGGCACCCATTTAAATGTACTATATCATCTGGCAATTATGAATTGAGGTACACTATAAAGCCTGATGATGATCTGATGGACTACAAGGTAATGACCCATGAATTACAAGTGTGAAATTTTCTTCAACTTAAATATCAGACATGGATTTTCCCCACAAATGTAAAAAATAATTAAAAACTAAAAAGGAAGGAATGTTTTCTGTGTAAAAGAATCTAGGTAAACCATAATTTTGCACATCTTGTTCCAATAGCTTATTAAGAACGTTTCCTGTAATGGGATTCAGTGGAGCAGAAAAATTAAACAGAATGCAAAACTCTTCTGTCTTTTATTACTGTTGTTTTAGCTGCTGCTTGGGTGTTCAGTTGCTTAATTTCCCGTGTTTTCTGTGCAATCTACTGATGTTGCAAATGTTTGTTTCCTTCTCTCTTATTCTCCCTCCAAATGAATCTGCAGGAAGTAATTTCTGTACTGCTAAGGATCTTGCAGAAGAAATAAGATCATTAACATCTGAGAGAGAAGGGCTGGAGGGACTTCTCAATGAGCTGTTGGTGCTGAATGCCAGAAATGTCCGAAAATTAGAGAGAATTAAAGAAGATTACAACAGATTGAAACAAGAACTGGAGCAGGGGGAGTCTGCCTTTGGTAAGTAGTTCACCAGCTGTTGGGTGATTGAAGCTTTGCTTTTGCTATATTGTGGGCAGACCAGTATTCTGCTTGATTGGATGAACATCCCTGTGATGTGTGTGACATGCAGAACATACCATTTTTAGGAGGGAAATTTTGGCAGGACCTTGATAAACAGTAGGTTGTACATGCTCTCAGGCTTTGTCTTGTCATTCATGAGTGACATTTTTTCTAGCTTTGTGTATATTAATTTTGTAGAGTGATTTTAATATCTCTTAGCCCTGATTCTCAAAAAGTCTCTTGTGCTGAAACCTAATTAATAATAATGCCTTGTGCATGTACATCATGTGCATAATCAAATACCTTGTACATAAATGTTCTTGTACTTTTCATCTATGGAAAATGTAGGTTGTCCACAACAATAGGAACCTCTGCCTTTAACATAATTGGATATTTATTCAGGATGTTTGTTGGGAAAGTGTGTAACCCATAGAGAGTGCAAGGTTTTGAAAGCAAGAAGTCTTTATTTAAATAAGTGGTTTAGCGAGAACAGCTAGCAAGTCAACATAAGCAGTCTTTGTGGCTTACTGTTTCAAAGCAGAATCAGGAAATTTGATCTGTGATTTAAGTGAATGCAACTGACAAAGAAGCGCTGCTTCTAACTTCTGTAGATTCTCTGTCTTCTGCCTTCCCCTCCTGAAGCCACCCAGTAAGTTACCAGATAAAGTGGCTATGTTGCTTAAGTAAAAGATGGAGTAGTGTTTAATTGATTACAAATACACACATACTGTAGTTACCTCTGCCTGCTAAACATAATCTTAGAATTGCTTTCTTGAGAAAGAATTCGAGATAGTTCCAGAGTTTGACACTTTTTTCCTACCTCAAAATTTTCTGAGCAGTATGTTGGTAGAAGAGACAAAAGCATTGCTCTTTTGGAAGGATGCTGAGTTGCGTTTCCTAGGTGACCAGACAGGCAAAGCTATCTTAAAAACAAAAAGATGGATTTTGTAGGCCATTAAAGAGATTTAAAGCAACAGTACTCTTGAAAACACATGTAGGAAGGGAAGGAAGACATGTCCTCTACGCTACTAGACAAGTATTTATCCTGCTAGAAACAAGAAAAGATCCAGAAAAGTGGAGCAAAAATTTTAATTGTCTTCCTCCAACATTAATGTTCTTCAACATAAGCAAAGTGATCCAAAAGCAGATGATGAAGCATGCTTTCTAATTATTTGGGGTTGCCAGTGGATTGAAGAGTTATTTTTGGTCCCCCAAGCTGTGCCCTTCATATTGCTACTTGCTCTGTTAAAGAAAGGGAACTTTCCATAACACACAATTTTCCAAATGGTACATTTTTCAAATGAGTTCTTCTTTACTGAGCTTTCAGACTGTTTCTGTGAGCTTGTTGAAGCAACAGAACTGGCAGCACTTCAAAGACTGTCCCCTATTTTTTTTTTTTTTGAAACACCGAATGTATGCAATGAAGCATCATGCTGTGCTGAAATTTACTGCAAATTATGACAATAATATATTGTAAAGCACTGAGATATGTCAGAGATTTACTTTGCAGATTGTAGTTTGATTTGTTGTGATTCCCCAAGAATAAGTGAAGAAAGTTAATTCTGTATGAAATAAAACCCTATGGAGCACAAATTGCTGAAAGCTGTATAAACCATTAAAATTATTAGTTCTTCATATAATCTACACCATTTTACTTTTTGGAAGATAGACACTCCTTTAGATTTGAGAGCATCTAGCATGTGAATTTTGGTTGGAAACAAACCTGTGAAAAGTGGTAAATATCTTGTATTTTAAAAAAAGACATGGAGTTTCATGAACCAGTTGTCTTTTCACATGGTACTTTTATGCTTGTAAAATAAAACATGGAATAGTCTAAACTGCAGATGGCACATTATCATTGAGAAGGCTTTCTCTGTGATTGCTGCTGTTTATTGAATGTCGCACCCTGTTTTCTATGGCAGACTGATTGGTGATGAGGACATTTTTTTTCAAGGTTATTATTGCATTTAACCTTTAGCAATGGGCAATTGAAATTAGTTGAGTAACTTTGACTTTGGGATGTTTTGGTGTTCATCACAAAATATAGTCTGTGAGCATGCATATTTAGAAAAATGGAGGGAGAAAGAATAGTAGAATAAAGATGAAGATACCGACTATATAAGGAATATCGATGATAGTAGGGATTGGTAAATACCCTAGTATGCACACCTCTCATTTTTATGATAAACAGGAATATTTTGAAAAACATACCTTGGAAATAATAAGGATAGATGAGAGCTCCTGAATGATGGGCAGGGAAGTTTAGAGGAAGAATATCTACATCACAAAGAGCAAGCAGAGAGAACCAGAGAAATGAGATTCTCTTAAAAATATTATTATGGATGATAATTTTTATTATATCCTTCTGGAGATAGTTGTGGCAGAGAGAAACAGACAGCCGGAGGTCATAGCAGCAGCAAGACTGCACCCAGTCACTAAATGAAGGAGGAATGATGATTGCAAAATGGCTGTCATTGAAGTCCCATGACTTCAACAAACCCTGCTGCTAATTGACTAGTATGGTTTTGTGAAGTTTAGGAATCTCCCTGAAACCCCAATCATGTACTGATGCAAACTCCTAAATAACTAAAAGCTAAATGATTTGGGGTTAATGTTGGGAAATCAGATTGTTCCCCAAAAATGCCAATATTCTGGCTATTTAGGAATTTGCAAAATTAGTATCCCATGTCCTTTTTGATTTGCATTTAGAAAGCAATAGCAAAAACAGCAGAATGAGGTAAAACATGCATTAGTTACCCTCAGAGAACGTAGTCTGTCATATTTTACATAAAAATAAGTAGTTAAAATCATATGTCATTTGATTAGAGAATAAGCAACATAACATTTTCATTTTTTAAAGCAAAGATTTATTCTTTTAAATGAGGCAGTAGATTTATTCTTTTTAAGGAGGGGAAATAGCTCAGTGGTTTGAGCATTGACCTGTTAAACCCAGGGTTATGAGTTCAATCCTTGAGGGGCCTGTTTAGGGATCTGGGGCAAAAATCTGTCTGGGGATTGGTCCTGCTTTGAGCAGCGGGTTGGACTAGATGATCTCCTGAGGTCCCTGCCAACCCTGATAGTCTATGATTAATAAAGATAGAAATATACCTGAACCACTTGATTCAGTTTTCCCAGAATCTATAACAAAAATATTTTGTTAATTCTAGACCATTTTTTCCCCTCGTGCATTTCAGAGTTGTATATTCAGGTATTAGGTGCCTCAGAGGGCTCATCTTCACTGCAGTGCTAGCTTGAGGTATACCTCAAATGTTACCACAACCCGACTCCTGTCTATGCACAAAAATCTCTAGCTCAAGTTCAGTGGTGGTTTAAACCCGAGCTAGATGGCCTGTCAGGGGGTGTGGGTTGAAGCTTGAGTTCTGCTGACTCTTGACCTAGTAATACAGTGGGGGCTCAGCCACTCTGGGCTGCTAATCCAATCATTCTGTGTGACTGCTCTCACTTGAGTTTAACTGGAGAGGTGTTAATTTGAGCTAACACTACCATGAAGACAAGTCAGTTTCCTTTTCTGAATCTTTATACTAGTTTAATTATTTCAGTGGTGTAGTTGATAGTCTTTCATCGTAGACAGCAGATGCTTAATTTTTCTAGCTAGACAATCAGACCAGTGGCGGATATTGGTTGCCTTCTCTTCCCACTCTTGCTCTGTGCTTTTCTTTCATACTACTTTCTATCTTTAGAAAAACCTACTACCCCTGAATCAAAAGCCCCCTCTATTCTCCTCCACACCTCTCCTTGAAACTTACTACTTTGGCAAAGCCTTCCTGTGTCGATCTCTTCATTGACTGTTTCTGCACATCTCCTCTCGTGAACTGTTATATTTTTTGATTTGTGAGCCTTTTAAGAATTGAGTTTTCTTTATTGAAATAACACTTTTGGTAGCGTAGAAGGAGCTGTTTTTCACAAGAAATTTGAAACACTGACTAGAATGTAAGTATGTGTGTTTCTTGTGTTTAAATTGGTCACCTGTATTGTACTTTATTAATATTGTTGATTTCTCATTGTAACTCCGATATAACAAAGCAGACGTCAAGGGAAGAGATTTAATCACACAATAATCAGGGCTGGAATTTTAAATAGGACACATCATTAGCATGTTAATGGATTTTCTCACTTTTTGCCAGCTGCCCAAGTATAAAAGATGTTGCAAATGTAGTGCAAAAATCTGGCTTGGCTTACTGTGCTGTGAACTGTCAGGGCTTCATGTAGGAGACTTAAAAAATACAAAAGGATTTTTAATGAGAATATCAGAAGTATTTTAGATTGCTTTTTATAATAGCGATGTCAACTGATAAGTTAGATGTACTTATTTATATTTTAGGATGAGATAATATTGTTTTGCACTTATTTTCATCTGAAGATCTCCAAGCTCTTTACAAAAACGGCTAAGTATTATTATTACCATTTTACAGCCAAAACCAAGCCATAGAGAAGTGAAGTCATTTGCTCGAGAACATATAGTGAGCTAGTGACAGAGCAGGGAATAGAACACTGGTTTCCTGACTCCCAGCCTCTTGCTCTAACCACTGGAATGCATTATAGTAAATAGATGAATTTGAAATGATCTGCCAACCAAATCTATCTCTAAAGCAGTGCTGTCATGGTAGGGAAAAATTTATTGTATGGTAGCTCAAGACAACCAAAACCCTATTTCAGAAAAGTGATATTTAATTGGAAAAAGCACAATGAAGGGCTACAAAATGATCAGGGGTGTGGAACAGCTTCCATATGAGGAGAGACTAAAAATATTGGGACTATTCAGCTTGGAAAAGAGACGACTAAGGGGGTGTGTAGAATATTTAGGGTTGCCAACCCCACTGAATTGGCTGAGAGTCTACCGGAATTGGCATCGATCTCCCAGTGACTATTGAAAGCAATCTGGGAAATGTTAATAGGCTGCTAAAAGTCCGGTTGGTGGCACTGTGGGGCTAAGGCAG